CAAATATGTTTAGTTATTCCACGGAAGGCCACATATTCCATTTAGAAAAAAGCAGAATGTAATTTGAGATAACAGAAGAAGGCTAAGCCCTAGAAAATACATTTTTGCCTAAATCCATCCTTGGAGTAAGCTGGCACAGCTCAAACATCGGAAATAAAAACCTTTTCCATTGTATTTGACTTGTTCTTTCATTCTTAATGAGCGCAAGTGAGGAAATTTGGCAGTAGAACTGCACACACTTACTCTCCAGTGCTGAATTGTTTTAATTCACTTTTCAACTCTTTTTTTTTCATGAAAGCATACAGGAATATAAGCAATTCTTGTTTATTACTCTCTTTGGTCGTGACTAAGCTGTGAAGTAGATGTGCCCCACAGGGTCTCAGATGACCCATATTGGACACAGTGACACAGCTCACCCCACTCCTGAAGGCCCAGGCTCCTTCCAGGGAAAACCAGAGGAGGTTGATGCACATTCAGATACTGCCCCAGCCTGGCGCAGGACAAGGCCAAGGTGTTTACTCTGAGCCAGAATCTGGGAAATGCTCCCATGTCCCACAGCTCAGATGCCATCAATGAGTAACAGTCTCCCACGCAAACAGTTCCACTGACTGCAGCGAGATTTAAATAGTTAGGTGTTATGTAGTGTGAGGCAGTGGCATTTAAGTATTCCAGCCTAGAATTGATCAGCTTATTGAAGCATCTCCCAAACTATGGACAACACTGTTCAGGTAGGAGCACACAGTGCAAAGTAGCTTCTTCTTCTATCACTGCAGTTCTCAGCAAGGATTAGGAGTGGGTGGTATTCCCCAAGAAACATAAGATAGATGGTTTCTTCAGGAAACTTCAACCTGGTTTAGCAAATCCACGATAACAGAATGAGTTCTAATCATTGGTTTCTGTCTTTACCTTCACAGACAGAAAGTGACAGTCAATATAACTGGAAGTGATTTATGTACAAAATGTCTGTGATGCCATATGCCTTTGGCAGGTAGTTATCAGATCTTCTGCAAGTCAAGTGAATAATGCCAATAAACTGTTTATCAAAATAAAGCAAAGGGCCTGATCCTGTGACCATGTGACTCCACTGTTTGCAGGTAGTTCTGTATTCAGTGAAGACAAGGAGACTCTCCATGTAAGTAAAATTGGTCAGATTTAGAGGTCCTGGCACTGAGTTCTGCAATGGACACCAGAAAAAGATGCTGAACCATTCAGGGTAAGAGCCATACTTGACTGTAAGCAAATAAAACGAGCACAGAAAACCTTCTGAGGCAAAGCAACTTCTTGTGGTTCTTTCTCTTTCTTGTTTTAAGATTCATGTGTATTTAGACATCCTTTTACTATTCATGGTGTCCTCTGGAGGTTCACAAATTGCTCATAGTATTCAGCAGTGTAGTAAATGCAGCTTTCGTATTGTCCCAGAAGCACTCTGGTGCCACTTTCACAACTATGTAGCCTAGGGTCTGACTACGCAT